GGGTGTCAGGGGGTGCATAAAAACCAAACCCCAACCCCTCTGTCCCCCCCCAGTTTACACGGTCGTGCTGCACCTCAAGAACGAGCTGAACCGCGGCACCTTTTTCATGACGCTGCAGAACCAGCCCGTGGCCCTGAGCCTGTACAGGCAGGTGAGGGGCAGAGAGACCCCTCCCCGGACCCCCTGCCCTCCCATGTCCCCCCCACCCCCCCCCTGACCCCCCCCCCCCCCCCCCAGTTCTGCCGGCACCAGGAGCGGGACACGCTGAAGGATCTGTACAACCAGGACGACAACCACCAGGAGCTGGGCAACTTCCACGTGCACTCCAGCTACTCTGAGAAGGTGAGGAGCCCACCCTCGGGGGGTTTGGGGTCCGAGGGTGCTCCCTGCCCACCCCTGGGGCGTGTCCCTGTCCCCGTGTGTGGGGCTGACGCGTCCCTGCCGTGTCCCAGCGGATCGAGGGCCGAGTGGGGGCCCTGCAGAACGCCCTGGACGAGTTCAACAAGGCCAGGAACGACTTCGCTGCCAAGGTGAGGGGCTGGGATGGGACCCCGGGGCTGGGATGGGGATCCTGGGGCTGGGATGGGACCCTGGGGCTGGAATAGGGATGCTGGGGCTGGGATGGGACCCCAGGGCTGGGATGGGGACCCTGGGGCTGGGATGGAGATCCTGGGGCTGGGACAGGGACCACAGGGCTGGGATGGGACCCTGGGGCTGGGATAGGGATGGTGGGGCTGGGATGGGGATCCTGAGTCTGGGACAGGGACCACAGGGCTGGGACGGGACCCTGGAGCTGGGGTGGGACCCTGGGGCTGGGATAGGGACCCCGGGGCTGGAATGGGGATCCTGAGTCTGGGACAGGGACCACGGGGCTGGGATGGAACCCTGGGGCTGAGATAGGGATGCTGGGGCTGGAATGGGGATCCTGAGACTGGAACAGGGATCCTGGGGACTGGCATGATCCTGGGGCTGGGTTGGGGATCCCAGGGCTGTGTTGGGGATCCCAGGGCTGGGATGGGACTCTGGGGCTGGGATGGGGATCCTGGGACTGGGATGGGGATCCTGGGACTGGGATGGAGATCCTGGGGCTGGGATGGGGATCCTGGGGCTGGGATGATCCCAGGGCTGGGACGAGGACCTCTGGGCTGGGCTAGGAACATCGAGGATGGGATGGGGATCCTGAGGTCAGGACAAGGACCCTAAGGCCGGGACAGGGATCCCAAGGCCAGGACAGGGATCCCAAGGGCAGGACAGAGATCCCAAGGCTGGGACAGGGATCCCGAGGCCGGGACAGGGATCCCAAGGCCAGGACAGGGATCCCAAGGGCAGGACAGGGATCCCAAGGGCAGGACAGGGATCCCAAGGCCGGGACAGGGATCCCAAGGCCGGGACAGGGATCCCAAGGCCGGGACAGGGATCCCAAGGCCAGGACAGGGACTGCAGGGTCACCTCTGTGTCCCAGGCCACCGAGGAGCAGATCAAGCTGCTGCGGCTGCAGCGGCACCTGCAGGAGGACTTTGACAAGCCCTACCTGGACCTGTCCCTGCATGACACCGTGTCCACCCTCATCCTGGACGGGCACCACAAGCGGGCGGAGCAGCTCTACCGGGAGTTCAAGATCCCCGACAAGAGGTGTGGGGGGCTGAGGGGGGGCTGGGGAGGGGGATCTGGGGGCTGGGGAGGGGTCTGTCAGCTCCACCAGCCCCCTGACCCCCCCGTGCCCAGGTACTGGTGGCTGAAGATCAGCGCCTTGGCCACGCGGGGGGACTGGGAGGAGATGGAGAAGTTCTCCAAGAGCAAGAAGTCGCCCATCGGGTACCTGGTGAGAGCTTTTCCTGCTCGGGATTGGGGTGGCACCAGGCACCCCCCCAGTGCCCTCCCACCCCTCCTCCTTCCCGTGTCCACCCCCCTGCCCTCTGTGTGCCCCCCCAGCCCTTCGTGGAGGTGGCGGTGAAGCACCACAACCGGTACGAGGCCCGCAAATACGCCCCCCGGGTGCCCCCCGAGCAGCGGGTCAAGGCCTTTGTCCTCGTGGGGTGAGTTAAGGGGGGACCCTGGGGGGGCCGTGGGGTCACACAGGGCGGGGGTTTGGGGCTGGGGGGGCGGCTGTGGGGGCACCGTGAGCTGTGTGCCCCTGGCAGGGGTTGGTCACTCAGGCCATGGGGGGCTGTGGGGGTGTTGCCCCCGCCCTGTGCCCACGCTGTGGGTGCCCCCCAGGGACCTGGAGCAGGCGGCCGAGGCGGCCATGGAGCACAAGAGCGAGGCCGAGATGAACCTGGTGCTGTCCCGCTGCTCCCCCGGCACCGACGGCGCCCTGGCCGAGAAACTCACCCGGGCCCGGGCACAGCTGCTCAAGAAGTGACCCCGGGGGGGCTGCAGGGACGCCCCCAGCCCCTGACGGCCCCCTCCTGGGGATCTGTGCCCCGGGTATGGGGATGGCAGCGAGGTGTCCGTGTCCTCCGGCAGCTGCTCCCAGCGCGAGTTTGGGAAACAAAACACGGCACCGGGACCCCCAAGTGGTGCAGGACCCCCAGCCTGGGGGCAGGGGGACCCCCACCCTCCCACCACGGCCCCTCCCTCCCGGTTCAATAAAGAGAAGAGCTCCCGCTCCTGTCTCTGGTCACAGATGCTCAACAGCCCCCATTCAGGGGGGCATTCGGGGGGACACTGGGGTCCAGGAGGGGTTCCTGGAGCAGGCCCTGGGGGGGGGTGTGGAAGGGGAGCTCACTGGGCGTCCCGAAGGGGTCCTGGGGAGACGCTGGGGGTCCCCTGGGGGTGTCCCTGGGACCCTCAAAGGGATCCTGTGGGGGTCATTCAGGGAGGACAGTGGGGTCGAAGAGGGGTTCCAGGAGGGGTTCCTGGGGTGGGCCCTGGGAGGGGTGTGGAAGGGGAGGTCCCTGGGTGTCCCTGAGGGTCCCGGGGTGTCCCCGAGGGTCCCGGGATGTCCCCGAGGGTCCCGGGGGGTCCCCAAGAGTCCTGGGATGTCCCCGAGGGTCCCGGGATGTCCCCGAGGGTCCCCGGGGGGGTCCCATCCCCGCAGTGCCTCCCCCGCCCGCCAGGGGGCGCCGCGGAGCGCTGCCGGCCCCGCCCACTCTGGTCACGTGCCGCGCGGTGCCGCGGTGCATTGTGGGCCGCAAAGATGGCGGCGCTGGGCGCGAGCCGGGCGGCGGCGGCGGTGAGGGGGGACAAGGGGGGACACAGCGGGGACAGCGGGGACAGGGGGTGTGCGGGCACCGCGGGCGGGATCAGGGGGCACAGGGACGGGGGGGTTGGCCGGGGAGAGAGGGGTCGGGCTGTGCGGGTCAGGGGGTCGCACCGGCTGTGGGGTTTGGGGGCTCGGGCCGGGCTGGGGGGTCTGTCTGGGCCGGGGGGGGTCAGTGTGGGCCGGGCGGTGTCACACGGGGCTGGGGTCAAGGTCGGGGCTCCAGGGGTGAAGGGTCTGTCCGGGTCGGAGGGGTCAGTGGGTGGGGGGGGGGGGGGGGGGACCTTGGGGGGGGGGGGGGGAGGCGGGGGGGGGGGGGAGGGGAGGGGCGGGGGGGGGCATTTCGGGGGGGCTGTTCAGGCTGGGGGGATCCGGTTGGGGAGTGTCGGACTTGGGGAGTTGTTAATTTTTTTTGGGGGGGGGCAGGCTGAGGAGGGTCTGCTCACTTTGGGGGTGGCTGGTCCGGGGGTTGCTTTGGGCTGGAGGAACATGTGGGGGGTGTCAGCCCAGCCTGGGGGGTCGGGGGGTGTTTGGGGATGGGGGGCACCCCCCGACGGGGCTGTCTGACCTCTGACCCCCCCGTGTCCCCCCCCCCAGGGCCTCCTGCGTGCCCAGAGCCTCGGGGGGTGGAGGGGCCTGAGAACCACGGCCGCCCTCACACAGATGCCCCAGGCCAAGGTGAGGGGGCGGCGGGGTGGGAATGGGGGTGGGAGTGGGGGATGAGGGGGGAAAAGGGGCTCAGGGGGGACCTTCTCCTCCCCACAACCCCCTGACAGGAGGGGGGAGCCGTGGGGGGTCGGGCTCTGCTCCCAGGGATCAAGGGACAGGACAAGGGGAAGTGGCCTCGGGCTGTGCCAGGGGAGGGTCAGGTGGGATATGGGGAAATTGCTCCTGGAATTCCTCCTGTCCAGCCCTGGCACAGCTGCCCAGGGCAGGGGGAAGGCCCCAGCCCTGTGGATGTGGCACTTGGGGACGTGGTCAGGGGTGGCTTTGGGGGACTGGGGGGTCTCTGAGGCTTTTCCCACCCAAAAGGTTTCCTGATCCATGTGCAGAGCTGTTCAGGACATGAGGGAAGGGCTGAGCCCGGGGTGTCCCCGTGTCCTTGAGCCAGGCCCAGCCCTGCCTGTCCCTCAGCTCCAGCCCTGCCTGTCCCTCAGCTTTGCCTCCTGGTATTTCCTGGCCGAACAGGAGCCGAGTGTGTGCTCTGGAAATCTGATCCCAGGATATTAAAGCTCCAAATTCATGACTCCTCTTTCAGTCCCCCCTTGCTCCTTCATTCCCCCTTCCCATGGCCTCGTGGAATCCTGGAGTCCCACTGCCTGTGCCCTCGTGTTCCTGTGGGTAAATCCCTGTCCCTGCCTGTGGATCCCTGATGCTGGATCTGGGAGATCCGTGTTGGATCCCAGCTCTGAGCAGGGAATTCCGGGCTGAGGAAGGTGGGAGCAGTGGAAGGAGGGCGTCAGGACAGCAGACAGCTCTGGAGGGGGCAGGGGTGGGTGTGGAACGACCCAGGAATTATCTGTGGGGCTGATTTGGGTCCTGGGCCACAAAACTCGTGTTTGGCAAAAATCCATGAGGTTGTGGGAGCACAGAGGGAGGGGGGGAGACTCCCATGGGAAGGGTCGGGAGCACCAGACCTGCTGGCAGCTCATGGAATCCTGCTGGGCACAGGGAGAGGCTATTTCAGGAAGTGCTGCCTGAGGAAAAGGTCTCTCCACTGGCACAGGGTCGGGGTGTCGGGTGTCCCTTGTGCTCAGGTGTCACCCTGGGGTGGCCTCAGGGCAGGGCAGAGCAGCACTGGGGGGGGTCACACCCCCAATTCGTGGGCAGGTTTGGGCCCTTCACAGGACACTGAGGGGCTGGAGCGTGTCCAGGGAAGGAGCTGGGAAGGGGCTGGAGCAGCAGGAGGGGCTGAGGGAGCTGGGGGGGCTCAACCTGGAGAAAAGGAGGCTCAGGGGGGACCTTCTGGCTCTCCAAGTCCCTGACAGGAGGGGGAGCTGGGAGGGATTTGGGCTCTGCTCCCAGGGAACAGGGGACAGGAGGAGAGGAAATGACCTCAAGCTGTGCCAGGAGAAGTTTAGTTGGATACTGGGAAAATTCCTTCCTGGAAAGGGCTGCCCAGCCCTGGCACAGCTGCCCAGGGCAGGGGGGAGTCCCCATCCCTGGGGGGATTTAACACCCTGTGGATGTGGCACTTGGGGACACGGCCAGGGGTGTCCCTGGCAGTGCTGGGGGGCACAGGGGCTTTTCCAACCCAGCATTCCATGATGCTGTAAGACCCCCGAGCCCCCTGGGCTCAGTGTCCCTGTGCCCACAGCAGATGTGTGCTGTGGAGGGGGGAAGGGACATTTTGCCCCTGGTGCAGGTCCCCTGGCCCTGACCCCCCCCGTGTCCCCACAGTCCCAGAATGCCAAGGCCGAGGGCACGTTCCAGGTGACGATGCTCCCGGGGGATGGAGTGGGCCCGGAGCTCATGCACGCCGTCAAGGAGGTGTTCAAGGTAAGGACCCTGCCCGGGTCCCACAGCCCCTCCTGCTGTCCCCGGGGCAGGGCTGGCACTGCCTGGCATCCCTGGGTGTCCTGGGGCCTGTGTCCTCACTGCCCAGCTCGGGGGCACTCGGGAGCAGTCCCTTGTCTGTCACACCAGTCACGGGCACGGGCAAGGGGCACCACAGCGGTTACACAGCTGGAAAATTCCTTCCTGGGAAAATTCCTCCTGGAAAGGGCTCTCCAGCCCTGCTACAGGCTGCCCACGGCATGGGGTGGTCACCAGCCTTGGAGGGATTTAGGTTGGATACTGGGAAAATTCCTCCTGGAAAGGGCTGTGCAGCCCTGGCACAGCTGCCCAGGGCAGGGGGAGTCCCCATCCCTGGGGGGGATTTAACACCCTGTGGATGTGACACTTGGGGACACGGCCAGGGGTGGCCTTGACAGTGCTGGGGGCGTCCCAGAGGGATTTCCCACCCTAAATATTCCATGATTTTATCAGTGTCACTGCTCCAGTGGGACCGAAGCGACCCCGAGGTGCAGGGTCAGCTTTCCGTGACCCCAGTTCCCTGAGCGGGGCCCTGGCTGGGTCAGGGCTGCCAGACCCCCCTGTCCCGGGCAGTGCCCTGTCCCCAGGGGTCCCGGGTGACTCCCTCCCTGTGCCAGGCTGCCCAGGTGCCCGTGGTGTTCGACGAGCACCACCTGAGCGAGGTGCAGAACACGGCGTCCGAGGAGAAGCTGGACCGCGTCGTGGACTCCATGAAGGAGAGCAAGGTGGCCCTCATAGGTGAGCTGTGCCCACAGCACGCCTGGCACCCCTCCTGCAGGCACAGCCCAGCTCCTGCGGGGAACCCAGAGCCCCCAGGGCAGCCCAGGGCTCGGGGGGCTCCGTGTCCAACAGCTCAGCCCCCACCCCTGGCTGAGGGGCTGCTGGAGCCACCTGGGCCCCCCTCGCTGCTCCTGGGGCAGGGCATGTCCCTGTGCTCCGTGTGCTCATCCTGCTCCGTGTGTTCATCCTGCTCCATGTCCTCATCCTGCCCCGTGTGCTCATCCTGCTCCATGTGTTCATCCTGCTCCATGTGCTCATCCTGCTCCGCGTCCTCATCCTGCTCCGTGTGCTCATCCTGCTCCATGTGTTCATCCTGGTCTATGTGTTTATCTTGCCCCGTGTGTTCATCCTGCCCCGTGTGCTCATCCTGCTCCATGTGCTCATCCTGCTCCATGTCCTCATCCTGCCCCGTGTGTTCATCCTGCCCCATGTGCTCATCCTGCCCCGTGTGCTCATCCTGCTCCATGTGTTCATCCTGCTCCATGTCCTTGTCCTGCTCCATGTCCTTGTCCTGCTCCATGTCCTTGTCCTGCTCCATGTGCTCATCCTGCCCCGTGTGTTCATCCTGCTCTGTGTGTTCATCCTCCTCCGTGTCCTCATCCTGCTCCATGTGCTCATCCTGCTCCATGTGTTCATCCTGGTCTATGTGTTCATCCTGCTCCATGTGTTCATCCTGCTCCATGTGCTCGTCCTGCTCCATGTGTTCATCCTGGTCTATGTGTTTATCTTGCCCCGTGTGCTCATCCTGCTCCATGTCCTTGTCCTGCTCTATGTGTTCATCCTGCCCCATGTCCTCATCCTGCCCCGTGTCCCCATCCTGCTCCATGTGTTCATCCTCCTCCATGTCCTCATCCTGCCCCATTCCTGCAGGGAAGATCCACACGCCCATGGAGTACAAGGGAGACCTGGCGTCCTATGACATGAGGCTCAGGTGAGGGAGGGCCCTGTCACCTGCCCGGGGCTGGGGAAAGGGTGTTAATTAATAGTTAATGAGCTGCTGGGGAGCAGGAAATCCCGAGGGACTGACTGGCTGTGGCCTGGGAAGCCAAAGTCCCGAGGGACCATGTGTGGCCCTGGATTCTGTGTGATCCCACTGCCCAGGGGGTCCCGGAGAAGGGGGGTGGCCCCCGGAACTCACAGGGGACAATCGCTGGGAAAACCCCACTAATTAATAATTAATGAGTTCTTGGGAAGCAGAAGATCCTGAGGGACCCTCTGTGGCCTGGAGCTGTCCCTGTGCACGGTGATCCTGAGGCCTTGGGGGTCCTGGATAGGGGGGTGGTCCCCAGTGCTGATAGGGAACAATCACTGGGAATGCCCTATTCATTACTAATTACTAATTATTAATTAATAATTACTGGTACTTATAGGGAATAATTACTGAGAATACCCTATTAATTACTAATTACTAATTACTGAGTTATTGGGGACACTCACTGAGAAAACCTGATTAATCCCTAATTACTGAGTTATTGGGGACAGTCACTTGGAAAGCCCTATTAATTAATAATTAATGAGGTTTTGGGGGCAATCAGTGGGAAAACCCTATTAATTAATAATTAATGAGTTTTGGGGGTCAATCAGTAGGAAAACCCTATTAATTACTAATTAATGAGTTATTCTGGCAATCCATGGGAATGCCCTATTAATTCCTAATTACTGAGTTATTGGGGACAATGACTAGGAAAGCCCTATTACTAATTAATGAGTTTTTGGGGTCAATCAGTGGGAAAGTCCTGTTAATTCCTAATTAATGAGTTATTGGGGGCAATCATGAGTTATTGTGGACAATCAGTGGGAAAGCCCTGTTAATTAGTTATTACTGAGTTATTGGGATCAGTCACTGGAAAAAGCCCTATTAATTCCAAATTACTGAGTTATTGGGGACAGTCACTGGGAAAGCCCTATTAATTAATAATTAATGAGTTATTGTGGCAATCCAGGGGAACACCCTATTAATTCCTACTTACTGAGTTATTGGGGTCAGTCACTGGGAAACCCCTATTAATTCCTAATTACTGAGTTATTTGGGATAATCACTGGATCAATTAATTAATAATTGTTAATTAGTAATTACTGAGTTATTGGGGACATTCACTGGTAAAGCCCTATTAATTACTAATTACTTGGAAAGCCCTATTAATTCCTAATTACTGAGCTACGGGGGACAGTCAGTGGGAAAGCCCTCTTAATTAGTAATTAATGAGTTATTGGGGATAATCAATAGGAAAGCCCTATTACTATTTAATGAGTTATTGGAGACAATCAGTGGGAAAGCCCTGTTAATTACTAATTACTGAGTTATTGGAGACACTCACTGAGAAAACCCTATTAGTTAGTAATTACTGAGTTTTTGTGGACTATCAGTGGGAAAGCCCTATTAATTAATAATTAATGAGTTTTTGGGGGCAATCATTGGGAAAGCCCTATTAATTACTGAGTTATTGGGGACAATCATTGGGAAAGCCCTATTAATAATTAATTACTTAGTTATTGGGGACAGTCACTGGGAAAGCCCTGTTAATTACTAATTACTGAGATATTGGGGACAGTCACTGGGAAATCCCTATTAATTAATAATTAATGAGTTATTGTGGTCAGTCACTGGGAAACCCCTATTAATTCCTAATTAGCGAGTTGTTGAGGTGAGTCACTGGAAAAACCCTATTAATTCCTAATTGCTGAGTTATTGGGGATAATCATTGGATCAATTAATTAATAATTAATTAATAATTAATTACCAATTGTTAATTAGTAATTACTGAGCTATTGGGGACATTCACTGGGAAAGCCCTATTAATTACTGATTACTGAGTTACTGGGGATAATCAGTGGGAAAGCCCTATTAATTACTGATTACTGAGTTACTGGGGACAATCAGTGGGAAAGCCCTATTAATTATTAATTACTGAATTATTGGGGACATTCACTGGGAAAGCCCTATTAATTATTGATTACTGAGTTATTGGGGACAGTCACTGGGAAAGCCCTATTAATAATTAATTACTGAGTTATTGGGTGCAATTACTGGGAAATCCCTGTTAATTACTCATTCCTGAGTGTGACCCTGCTGGGTGTGACCCTGGAGGTCCTGGTGGGGGTCCTGTGGGGGTGTCCCCGTGCCCCCAGCCCTGCCCTGCCGTCCCCAGGCGGAAGCTGGACCTGTTTGCCAACGTGGTGCACGTGAAGAGCCTGCCCGGGTACCAGACCCGGCACAACAACCTGGACCTGGTGATCATCCGCGAGCAGACCGAGGGCGAGTACAGCTCCCTGGAGCACGAGGTGGGCACTGCCACAGCTCCCTGGAGCACGAGGTGGGCACTGCCACAGCTGGGAACTGCCAGCCTGGAGAAGAGAAGGCTCCAGGGAGAGCTGAGAGCCCCTTGCAGGGCCTGAAGGGGCTCCAGGAGAGCTGGAGAGGGACTGGGGACAAGGCAGGGAGGGACGTGTGTTCCCACTGCCAGAGGGCAGGGATAGATGGGATATTGGGCAGGAATTCCTGGCTGGGAGGGTGGGGAGGCCCTGGAATGAATTTCCCAGAGAAGCTGTGGCTGCCCCTGGATCCCTGGAAGTGTCCAAGACCTGGGATAGTGGAAGGTATCCCTGGATGAGCTCTTAGTTCTCTCCAACCCAAACCATTCCATGATTCCCTGATTCCATGCTGAGCACAGTGTGGAAGTGCCTGGAGCAGCAGTGATGGAATTACAGGAGTTTTTAGGGATATGAACACCCAGCCCCAGTGAGGATGAGAAAAAGGGGACAAGGGGACATGGGTGTTGTCCTGGGTTAACCCCAGCCCTCAGTGCCCCCCTCTCCCTCCCCAGGGGGAGGAGAACAGGAAAGAAAAAGGTGAACATGGGTTGGGATAAGAAAAATTTAATAATTGAAACAAAATAATAATAGCAGCAATACTAATGCTAACTACTGGTACTAAAATATAAATATTATTTTTAATAAAATACAATTATAATATACATATAAGAATAATACAGATAATAATACATTATACATAATAAATTACATAAATACAATATAATAAATACAATGACAAGGAGAGGGAGATGAACAGACCCCAGGTGGAACAAGTGATGCCCAGTCACTCTCCCACCACCCACTGACCAGTGCCCACCAGTAACTGCCCCCTCCAGTTCCTGTCCTGGGCAGGACATTCTGGGAGCTGGGACACCCCTTTGGCCAGTCCTCCCCCAAATTCTCCTGCCCTGGCAGAGGGGGGGGCACCGAAATGTCCTTAATTTGTGGGGTGAGCAACCCCCACGACATCTGCCTGTCGCCATCATCATCCTCACCCTAAATCCCAGCGACTGGGGAGAGAGCTCTGTCCAGCCCAAGCCAGGGGGGTGCTGGGGACCTGCTGGGGGGGCTGGGGGTGCTGTGGGTGACCCCCCCTGTGCCCCCAGAGTGTGAAGGGGGTGATCGAGTGCCTGAAGATCATCACCCGCGCCAAGTCCCAGCGCATCGCCAAGTTCGCCTTCGACTACGCCACCAAGAAGGGCCGGGCCAAGGTCACAGCCGTGCACAAGGCCAACATCATGTGAGTGCCCTGGGCACACCGCTGTGCCCTCGGGGCTGGCACTGGGCTGGGGAGACACCCCGGGATCCCTTCTGTGGTGGCAGCGGTGTCACAGTGAGCGGGACACTGCTCTGGGGCTGAGCAGGTCTGGAGAACTCGGGGTCAGCGCAGCACCTCCAGGGCAGAGCTGTCCTCTCCCACCTCTGGACAGACAAAGCTGTCCTCTGCCACCTCTGGACAGACAGAGCTGTCCTCTCCCACCTCTGGACAGACAGAGCTGTCCTCTCCCACCTCTGGACAGACAAAGCTGTCCTCTCCCACCTCTGGACAGCCCAAGCTCTGATGGGGAGGTCACGGATGCTCCCATGACTTGGGGTGCTGTGTGTGAGCAGTCAGTTCTGTTCCCACAGTCTGCCAGGGTGGGAATCTGATGGGGTGCATTAACTGACCAACCCTAGGCCTGGAATTAGCACCTTCCTGGTGTAAACTCCTGCCATCTGTGCTTACCTCAAGTTCCTGCTGTGCTGGTTTATCTCCTGGGAGGTTCCTTTTGTGGCCTTGACAGTGCTTGAGACAGGAAATTGTGCTCCCTGAGTCCTTCCAGGTGTGTTCACCTGGCACAAACCACGTTCCTCTCAGAGGTGGCAGAAAGGGAGAGAGGGGCTGGGGGGGAGGAACAAAGCAGCACCAGAAGCCCCAACTCTTATCACAGACCCCAGTTCCAGTTGGGCACCTGCAGTTCCTGTTGGACACCTGGTGCCATAAGGATTCCCGTTTCCCACCAACCCTTCCCGGTGTTTGCCCTGTGCAGGAAGCTGGGGGATGGGCTGTTCCTGCAGTGCTGTAAGGAGGTGGCAGAGCTGTACCCCAAGATCAAGTTCGACACCATGATCATTGACAACTGCTGCATGCAGGTGAGGCCCCCCCCAAACCTGAGCCCTCCTGCACCACCCACTGCTGCTCCCCCAGGAGCTGCAACCCCAAAAGCTGCACCTGGACCCTTGCCCTGCCCCTCCATCCCTTGTCCAAATCCCTCTCCAGCTCTCCTGGAGCTCTGTTAGGCTCTGGAGGAGACCCTGGAGCTCACCCAGCCACCCCCAGGCCCCTCTGTGTTCCACCCCCCCGCCACATCCCAGGGGTGGGTCGAGCTGCCCCCGGGCGTGCAGGGCCTCACGTGCCCCCCGTGCCCCCCCAGCTGGTGCAGAACCCGTACCAGTTCGACGTGCTGGTGATGCCCAACCTGTACGGGAACATCGTGGACAACCTGGCGGCGGGGCTGGTGGGCGGCGCGGGCGTCGTGCCCGGGGAGAGCTACAGCGCCGAGTACGCCGTGTTCGAGCTGGTGAGCTGCCCCGGGGGGGCTGGGGGTCCCCGGGGACACCCAGGGGGGCACGGGGGGGCCCCCTCACCGTGGCCTCTGTCCCGCAGGGCGCCCGGCACCCCTTCGCCCAGGCTGTGGGCAGGAACATCGCCAACCCCACGGCCATGCTGCTGTCGGCCTCCAACATGCTGAGGCACCTCAAGTACGTGCTGGGCTGGGCCTGGGGGGCTGCTGGGGGGCTGCAGGGGGCTGCTGGGGGCTGACCCACTGCCCTGCCCCTCCCCAGCCTGGAACACCACTCCAACCTGATCTCGGACGCGGTGAAGAAGGTGATCAAAGGCGGCAAAGTGAGTGTGGGGCGGTGGGTCGGTCGGGGCTCTGTGTCCTGGGCGAGGCTCTGGCTCCTCTTCCTCTCTTCAGCTGCAATTCCAGCTCCTCTCCCAGCTGGAATCCCAGCGCCTCTTCTCTTCTAGCTGGAATTCTGGCTCCTCTCTCCAGCTGGAATCCTGGCTCCTTTCCTGTTTCCATCTGGAATCCTGGCTCCTCTCCTCTCCTCTCCTACACTTGTCCCCGGGGTCATGTGCTGGCAAGGGAGGGACTTCTGGCAGGGCTGAGGGACCCTCCATGGCCTTCTCCCCACCCCAGATCCTGGCAGGGTGCTTGAGGGACCCTCTGTGACCCCCATCCCCACCCCAGGTCCTGGCAGGGCTGGGGGACCCTCCATGGCCTTTTCCCCACCCCAATTCCTAGCAGGGCGCTCAAGGGACCCTCCATGGCTCCATCCCCCTGGCACTCGAGGGGCTCCTCTCTCTCCTCTCCTCTCCCTCTGGGAGCCGTTTCCCTCGTTCACCAGCAGTTTCCCCCCGTTTCTCCCCCTCCCTGTGTTGGATTTGCAGGTCCGGACTCGGGACTTGGGCGGTTACTCCACCACCTCCGACTTCGTCAAGTCCGTCATTGACAACCTGCACCCCCACTACGGGGCTTAGGACCCACCCCCGGCAGCCCCCACAGCGCCTCGGCCCCCCAAACCCCTCCCCAGACTCCCCCACCCCAGTCCAATCCCCCCGGGGAGAAGGGGGACTCCCCCCTGCCCAGCCCAGTAACTCCAGTAACCCCCGTCTCCCCAGTCCCAGTTCCCCCCAGTCGGGATGGCTCCACGAGGCCAGGGCGGATCTCAGGGTCCATTGGGGTGCTGGGGGGGACGGGGCAGTGCCCCAAACGCACAGGCAGCTTCCAGGGACATTGGGACCACCAGTACTGTGGGACCACCATTCCATGGCCCCTTGTGACTACGGGACCACCATTCCCATGAAGCTTTTAGCAATAAACGGGACCACAGGGCTCCCCCACCCTCCTTCCCCTACTCCCATCTGCTGCTGGCACAGGGACAAGGGGCCCTGTGGCTCCTGGGACCAGCCATGGTGCCACCCCGGGGGTCCTGGTGGCTCCTGGGACCAGGGACCAGCCCCAGCGTGAGCCCAGGGGTCCCTGTGGCTCCTGGGGTCGCTGTGGGGCGGGTGCTGGGCTGTGTCATCGTGCTGTGCTCTGTAACTCCTGCTTGCTAATAAAGGGTCCAACGCTTCCCTCCAGCCCGGGGGGTCACAGCCTGGGGGGCACTGGGCTGGGGGGAGAGGGGGGGCTCAGCCCCAGCCCCTCTTGTCCCCTCCTGGGGAGCAGCTCTGCCTGGGGAGGGGCTGCTCTGCAATAGGGGGGGCAGTGCTGGAACCAGAGACCACAGTGCCCGCAGGTGCCCGGAGTTTGGGGTGTCTGATGCCCATCACCTCGTGTGGGGCACGGGGGGGCTTCAGCCTCTCCCTGTGTCCCCACGGTTCCCCCTGCAGCCCCCGGGGTGCAGGGACAGTCTGGGGGCTGCCCAGGGCCCCTGTCCCACCGTGGCACTGCCCAGGCTGGGGCTGGGGGTCCCTTTGCCGGGGTCCCTCCCCCTCCCTAACCCTCCCCTCTCCTTGCAGGTGCGCACGGCGGACATGGGGGGCTACTCCACCTCCCTGGATTTCACCCAGGCCGTGATAGCTGCCCTGGAGGGGCACTGATAGCTGCCCTGGAGGGGTAGTGCCCGGGGTGGGACCCCTCCCGGCTCCTGCCCTGCCCTGCCCACCCGGTAAATCACTCCTTCCCTCCAATAAAGTGGCCTCAGGCCTGACCACGGTGCCATCGTGTCCCTGTGCCAGGGGGGAGAGCGAGGGCACCCCCTGGCACACACCAGGACAGGAGGGGTACACAACAACCTCGGCCCTTTATTGGGGCTCATCAGCCCGAGCGGGTCCTGCCCCCTGCACGGCACAGGGGGGGGACACGGCCACACACAGTCCCAGCCCCCCAGGGCAGGGACACGGCCACACACAGCCCAAGCCCCCCAGGGCAGGGACACAGCCCAGGGACACCCCACGTGCACCCAAACCCCCCCAAGGGAAGGAACACGGGGCTGGGGTAACACTGTGTAAGGCACAGCCCAGGGGCTGCTGGTGCCCAAAGGACTCACCCGCACGAGGGGCCACGACACGTTCAGTGTGGCCACTGTGCCAGGGGACAGGCCCAGGGCACTGCAGGGACACAGCAAGGGGCCGCCCCGAGCTCCTCCTGTCCCTCAGTCTCTCAGTCCGTCTGTCTGTCCATGTGCTGGAGCTCCTGCTCCAGCCCCTGCTCCCTAATCCTCCTCCAAGTCCTGGGCCACTGCCTTCTTCTTCTTCTTCTTTTTCTTCTTCTTCTCCTCCTCCTCCTCCTGCTCGGGCTCCACCGTGAGTTTCCTTTT